CAAAGTCAAGATTCAAACCCATCTTCTGACTTCTAATCTGATGCCTTCCACTACATCTTACTCCCTCCTTATGTGATAATCTAAGCTCCCTGAAGAAAAATACAAGCAGTCACCAGTTTATGAACCTTCAACTTATACCCATACATAGAAATACTCTGCTACCTTGCTCCTACCCCTATGATATTCATATTTTTAGGAATCCAAAAATATTCATTGTCTCTTGGAATATATCAGCAGGCACAGAGCTATTCAGTTACCTAACTGTAAAATGTTTCACAATCTGTAAAATTAAAAATTGATTTTACTTCCATTTTGCTAAGATTTAATCAAGGCAGATTTAATATTCCCATTTGAGATTCCTTCTCCTGGTCAACTTCATCCACCACCCACATCCCAGAGAAACTTACCTAAAAGATTAAGCTTTTGTTTTATGATTACCTCCACCTTTGTAACCCCACCCATCACCCACTTTCCAGAGAAACTTGGTCAAATCTCATCAATTTAAAATATGGTAGCAACTCCTATCAACTGCTTCTACTCCCATTTCCTGGAAACCTTTGTCTTGTGAGTCAAATCACATATCTTGGCTGTGATTAAGGGAGTTTCAGAAGGGAAAGTCCAAATGATATTATCTTAATCCTATGTCATTGATAGCCATTCAGAAGAAACATCTAGGTTTCTTGAGATTTTTTTGTCCTTTCATCTTTCTATTTGTTATAAAAGACCCTGTCAGCCCTCACTCAAGGTCTTTGGTCATTGAGAGAGGCCACTGACCAAATTTATTCGTTGTGGCTCAGTCATTCAGTCCCATCTGAGCAGTCGTGACCCTATGGACCGAAGCACATCAATACTGTCCGTGGAGTTTTCTTAGCAAAGAAACTGGAGTGGTTTGCCATTTCCTTCTCCAGTGGATTAAGGCAAACAGAAATTAAGTGATTTGCCCAAAGTCACATAGTGTTTAAGATCAGATTTGAACTCGTGTCTTCCTGACTCCAGGCCCAGTACTATATCCACTGAGTCACTTAGCTAGTAGCCTAACTAATAAACTGATCATGCTCAAAATCTTCTCTCAAAATCTCTAATTTGACAAATCCCCTAAGTTTTTCCCATCCTGTTTTTTCCTAATTCTTCTTTTCCAGTTAGTCTCATTTGCTCTTTAATGTGAAGCTCAGGCTCTGACCCCAATGTGGTCAATGTTCATTATTCTCCCTAAAAGAAGCAGTGGTTTCTCTCCCACCTAAAGTGATACTGAGAGAAGACTGGAATATCTCTAACATGTACTGAGAGCTGAGATGAGCCACACTAATAGGATGAATCGCCCCCAAAAACCTAAATTTCTCTACAGAACTACAACCATACCAATTCTCCCCTCAAAAGAAATATATTTAATTAATTCCAACTAAATTGACACAACTGAATTTATATATTTATCAAATGCATAACTTCTGGAATATCATTACATTCTCAGACCATAACTAATATTCCATTTAGTTTTAATTCCCACCTTGAGGTCATTGAGATAGATCAGGGACTTTTCTTCTATGGGCTGCTTGAAAACCACCCTCAAATATCAGTTCAACCACATCACATTTTTCTTGAAACCCCACCCAAGAAACTCAGTCTAGATTTTAAATTCGACAGTTTCTTTTTGGACTTTAAGATTCACAATCAGCTGGCCACATCCTATCTGTGTTCTTATACCCAACTATAGTCCATTTCATGTCATACATTTTAGACTTATAAACTGATTTCTGGTACCCTCACGACGTTTTCCCTCCCCACCCTCCACCTCTCTGCATCATCATTTTCCTTTAGTTATCTTTATACTCAAAGCTAAGAATAGGGGCCCCTTTTCTCATTTGCAAAATTATCTCTCCCACCCTTAAAGTTTCATTTCAAAAACAACCTGTGGTATGTTTATCAAATCTGTGCAGGACCCAAAACAATGAAAGATAGCTAATTTTTTGAATAATAGAAATAAGGTTCAAAACTGAAAGCATAAACACAAATGAGACTTGTATGTAATGTTAAAGTGACCCAGCAACCAGCCTGACCAGGGAATGAGTATAGAGAGAAAGGATCCTAGGAAGACAGTGGAAAAGGTCAGATAACTTTCATCTCTCCAAATTTCCTCCACAAAAAAAAGGCAGAACATCAGCTCAGAGTGAAAGTAGAGCAGCAGAAATAAACAGGAGTTAGGGTAAAGCAGTTGTCCTCTTAAGACAACTTGAGAAAACCCCAGGAAAAGGCTCTAGGGGTGGTGGTTCAGCCTGAGTGAAGTGCAAGGACCAACTCCACTGAATCAATAAACAGCAAACCCTGGGGGCAGCTGGGTTGGGAGGCAGCCTCAGACACAGGAACTTTCACCTCCTGGACAACGTGGGGGTCTAATGGTTGAGTAGAAGATGGAAGGACATTCCACTGTTGAGGGACACAAAGCACAGCTGTGCTGGCCTGGTGTGGTCTGAGCTGTGGTTGCAGAGAAAGAGCTAGCATACACCTGGTAAGTACAGTAGCAGAGATGCAAGGACCCTGCTGGCTGTGGGCACTTGCAGGAGAGCAGAGTCCCTGTTCCTAGGCAGAGAGGACAGCTGTAGTTTGCAGTCACCAGAGGGATCACAGGGAGCAAGAACATTTTTAGGACAGCATGGCTGGGAGCCCTAACTGTGGCTTAGAGGAGGAGAGGAATCCCTGAGGTTGAGCCCCTGGACATAAAGGGTGATACCATAAGCATAGTAAAAGAGTATGGAGTAGTTTATTTGTCAGATTTATGGATAAGGGAAGAACTTAGGACCAAAGAAGATATAGAGAGCATTACAAAATGTAAAATAGATAATTTTGATTATAAAATTAAAAGGTTTTTGCATAAACAAAACCAATGCAACCAAAATTATAAAGAAAGCAGATAATGGGGTGGGGGGATTTTGTAACAAGTATCTCTGATAAAGACCTCATTTCTCAAATATATAGAGAACTGGGTCAAATTCAGAAAAATACAAGTCATTCCCCAATTGATAAATGGTCAAAGGATATGAACAGGCAGTTTTCAGACAAAGAAGTCAAAGTTATCTACCATTATATAAAAATTATCTAAATCATTATTAATTAGAGAAATGCAAATTAAAACAGCTTTGAGGTACTACCTTCACACCTATCAGATTGGCTAATATGACAAAAAAGGAAAATGTTGGATGTCGGAGGGGATGTGGTAATACTGGGACATTAATGCATTGTTGGTGGAGTCACGGACTGATCCAGCCATTCTGGAGAGTGATTTGGAACTATGCCCAAAGCATTATAAAACTATGCATACCCTTTGATCCAGCAATACCACTGCTAGATCTATATCCCAAAGACATCAAAAGTGGGGAGGGTGGTCGAGAAAGGACCTATTTGTACAAAAATATTTATAGCAGCTCTTTTTGTGGTGGCTAAGAATTGGAAATCAAAGGAATGCCTATCAATTAGGGAATGGCTAAACAACCTGTGGTATATGATTGTAATGGAATATTATTGTGCTATAAGAAATGACAAGCAGGATGATTTCAGAAAACCTGGAAAGACTTCCATGAACTGATGCTTAGTGAAGTGAACAGAACCAGGAGAATGTTGTACATAGTAACAGCAATATCGTTTGATGAAGAACAGTAGTGTGAATTGCAAAATGAAAATTTTTGTTATATTAGAAAGGGTTTGTATAAATAAAACAAATGTAGCCAAGATCAGAAAGAAAGCAGAAAGTTGGAAGAAAATTTTACAGATTCTCAGATCAAGGTCTCATATCTCAAAAATATAAAGAACTTTGTTAACTATATAAGTCATTCCCCATTTGATAAATGGTCAAAGGATATGAACAGGCAGTTTTCTGATGAAGAAATCTAAACAATTTACAGTCATATTTTAAAATGCTCCAAATCATAATTGATTAGAAAAATGCACATTAAAACAACCTTGAGATATCATTTACACTGGCTAAAATGATTGAAGAAGAAAGTGACAAATGTTAGAGGGGATATAGAAATATTGGAACACTAATTCACCAATGGCAGAATTGTGAACTCATCCAACCATTTTCAAGAGCAATCTGGAATTATGCCCAAAAAGTTATTAAACCGCCTATACCTTTTGACCCAACAATATCACTACTAGATCTGTTTCCAAATATGATTAGGGAAAAGGGAAAAGAACTTATATTCTAAAATATTTGTAGCACCTCTTTTAGTGGTGGCAAAGAACTGGAAATTGCAGGGATGCCCATCAATTGGGGGATGATGGAACAAGTTGTGGTATATGGTTGTGATGGACAACTACTGTGCCATAAGAAATGATGAGTTTGATGATCTTAGAAAAACATGGATAAATTTGCACAAAATAATAAAGAGTGAAATTAGAGAAGCAAGAGAACATTGTATATAGTAACAATATTGTTTTAAGAACAACTTTGAGTAACTAAGTCATTTTGACTGCTATAAATACTCAAATTAAGGACATGTGAAGGAAGACACTATCTGCATCCAGAGAAAGAAATAATAAATAAATGTATGTATAAATGGTTTTACATATATATATATATATATATATATATATATACACACACATATATTATGTATGTATGTGTGTATGTGTGTGTACATATATATACATACATATATATTTGTGTCTAATGGTAGCCATCTTTAGGGCAGGGGGAGGGAAGGAAGAAAAATAGGAAAAAAAGAAAAAGAAAATTATAACTTTATTAAATATTAAAAAGGAATGACAAGTTGTACACAATAGATTTGCAGTTTCATGTATAATCATCTTTTTTCTCTTCTATTATGTTATGGAAATGATTGTTTTATTTCTTAAGTTCAGAATAAAATAAATAAAAATTTTTTTAAAATAAAATGTATTCTTTAAAACCACTATTTTTCTCTTAAACTGAAAGCTATTAGCATATATCCTTCTCTATGATGATTTTGTGGAATTTGTTTCTCTTCTATCTCCAAAAAGAAAGGGCACTAGATTCAGAATCTGAAGGTGTGGGTTCAGAAGTTACTTCCTAGCTAGCACTTCAACCTGGGACAAATCAATTTCCTTCTACCTTCACAATGAGGATAACATCTGCTCAGCCTACCTCATAAGGTTGTCATGAGGCTTCAATGAGTTAATTCACTGTAAAGAGCTTTGGCATCTTTAAAGTCTTGCAGAAAGAGGATCTAGTGTTCATTAGCTTTAATTCTTCGTTTAAGAAAAACGGGCAATTTGACTTTGGGGTGTTAACTCAAATGCAAAAGGGGAACATGTAATTCTGTTTAGAAAGAGTAACTGCTGAAAATGATTCAGCAAGTAAATCTCCCCTGGTTCCCTAAAGGAATCAGCTATAGACAACTGATGAGGTTAAAGACTAATTGCAGCAGCTGTGAAAAACTTCAGAGTTAGTGTTTTCCCAGTAGCCAATGAGAGCTCTTGAGCAGCTAGAAATATTTTCTCCACCTACCCTCTTTCCTCCTTCAACACACTCTAAGGTTGTCAGGAGTGAGCAACACATTCCAACTGTCAGACTTCTGAAGTGGAGCTATGAGAGCGGCTTGGAGTTGGCTCAGCTTTTGTCTTTTGACTCTGGCTGACTCAGCCAACATTTCCAGTGGTAAGATGAAAAGATACCCATTCTGAGGACCTCTTCTCTCATGTCTCTCATTTCTTCTCTGACCCACCTGGGCTTTCTTTGTGCAATGGCTACCATCTCGCCTTGTCTACCAGAGAGGCAGATAACTGTGTTTTTGTTTTTGTTTTTTCCCTCTGTGCTCTAATTTAACAAGTTTACTATGTGATGGCTTTTACTGACTGATAAACTTTCAAATTGTTCTCAACTGCATTCTCTCCCTTCTTCTCTATCACAAGAGTCCTAGATATTTCAATATGATACGTTTCCTTTGTGATCTTATATATTTTATTTTATGCATGTAAAGACATTCTGAGAAGGCATACCTAAGCTTCACCAATCAGAAAGAGAGTGTTTTACATGCAAAAAAAGGGTTAAGATCTCTGATCTAGCAAGTTGAGAGGTTTGTTACCATATATTTATAGAGACTGTGTGGTGCTGAGAAAAGAGCACCAAATGTGGAATTAGAAGACCTGGGTTGGAGTCCCAGATCTTCTATTAACTCCCTGTGCAACCTTTGGGGTAAGTCATTTCACTTTGCTATGCCTCAATTTCTTCATCTGTGAAATGGGAATAATGTGTGCATGGTTAAAGCTCAAATATGGCTCTTGAGAGGTAGTGGGTTACCTTTCAGTGGGGATCTTCAGGGAGAGACTAGATGACTACTTGTCAGGATGTGATAGAGGAGATTCTTATTCAAGCCACCTAAAGCTTGGACTAGGATCCTGGGATCATGCATTTAAAGCTGGAAGAAAGTTTAGAGACCCTTTAGTCATTTTACAGAAGTTAAGTGACTTGAACAAGGTCACACAGATAACAAATACTTAATACAGGATTCAAATTCAAGTCTCCAACTCCAAGTTCAATGCTGACCTCTGAAGTCCTAGGATTCTGGGACTATCTACTCCACAAGATCATTGTGAAAAAAAGAAATTTATAAACTGTGAACCTCTCTAGAACTGTGAGCTAGGCCATATTTACAGGAAACCTTTCTATATTAAATCAAGTTTGATTTGAAGATGGCTATGACCAGCTGATACCTACATAAAAGTCAGAACACTGAGTAACCAGTAGGCCAGAGCTCTTAACTTGGGGTTCATTTTATAAAAATATTGTTCAGTCAGTCAATAAATACTTAGTTAAGTATTTACTATGTGCCAAGCACTAGAGGCAAAAGACAGGCCCTGCCCTCAAGGAGCTCACAATGTAACCTGGGAGAGAAGCAAACAAATATGTACAAACAAGCTATATACAGGATATATGGGAAATAATTAAGAAAGGGAAGGCACTAAAATTAAGGAGGGGTTGGGAAAGGTTTCCTGTAGAAAATGAGATTTTAGTTAAAGGAAGCCAGGGAACCCTGTAGGCAAAGCTGATAATTTTATTTCAGCATACTTGGTTCCCTTGTTAATCCTATGCATGTTTTATGCATTTAAAAAATTGTTCTGAAAAGGGGCCCATTGGCTTTACCAGACTGCAGGCAGACCCAAGAGACAAAAAAAAAAAGTTAAGAATCTTCATCCTAAGGGAGATCTGAATAGTTTCTCTTCTTTCTAGAACTCATCAGTTGAGTAGCATCTTTCATCTGGACTGCCAACATTAGCCAATCCTACCAAAGAATCCACCTCTTCCTTCCTTCCCTACCCCACACTCCCCAGCCTTACTGGCTCTGCCAAAGAAAGCACTGAAGGCAAGCTTTCTAAGCTATATGTGCTAGTGAAACAAATGCAGGTTTGGATTACGTGTGCCTTTATGGCCATGCAACAGCTGTGGTTTCCTTTTGAGGTGAAGAGGCTTCAAAAATGCTGTTCTTCTTAACATGCTTGAAATTAGTGTTTCTGGAAACTTAAGGGGAAGCTTGAGAGCCTGTGTTCACAAAGTTTTTCTTCTGCATCATACAGACTGGGATGGCAAAGATCTTAACCTGGTAAAAGCAACCTAGGAGCCAAGAGATTCATGCTTCTTTAGAGATATATAGTTCTCTCTGAAATGTTGATTGTTCTTACCCTCATACTACCTGTTAAATTGTTGTTCAGACACTTTGAGCTATTTTTATATCTGATGGTTTCACCACCACCATCACCATGGCTCCAATACTTTAGCCAAAAGGAAGGGTATTAAAAAGGGTAGATAAGAGAGACTATATCCATCTGGGAAACTACAGTGAATGCAGATATCCAGAAGATTGGACGCATAAAACATATAGAAATCATGGTCCTTTGAGATCTCTCAATCAAATCCAATCATTTTTACAGATGAGAAAACTGAAACTAAGAAAGACAAAATCATTTGCCCAAGGTCACACAGGGCATTAGTTGCATTAGTTGCAGAGATGGGACCAGAATCGGTCACCTCATATACTCTCTGTGGGGTATTGTTACCTGAACAAATTTACCAACCTTTCTACCTCTCGCTGCTACTGGCTTATTTTCTTTTTGATTCTCTCTTCCAGATTCAAGACAAATCTAGGATATGGAAGTTTCAGACTTCATACATTATGAAAATTCTCTCTAATCAGCTCCATAATATCTCTCTCCTTTGGACTAACTTCCCTTCTTTCAATACCAAACTATATGGGCTTGGACACAAATCATTATAAATGACCATATCCTTTAAAGCAATTTAAAATAGCATAGGGAATCGATGTGGTAGCACACACCTCTTGTCTCTGCTGAGAAAGCTGAGGCTAGTGGGTCACTTGAGTTAGGGACTTTTGAACTGCAGGAGAGCTAAGAAATGCTTATCCCACATCTGAATTAAGTCTAGTACCAATACTCTGAACCCTCTAGAATCTGCAAACCACCAGACTTTTTAGAAAAGGATAAACCAGTCCAGGTCAGAAAAATAGAGTAGGTTAAAGCTTCCAATGAGTCAACCAGTGAGTTGTCACTACGTTATCTGCCTGATAGGGAGACCTAGCTTCTAAATAATAATACTAACAACAACAACACCACAAGAATGCAAAAAAGCATTTAAAGAAATAAGTTCAGGGGCAGCTAGGTGGCACAGTGGATAGAGCACCGGCCTTGAAGTCAGGAGGACCTGAGTTCAAATCTGACTTCAGACCAAACACTTGACACTTACTGGCTGTGTGACCCTGGGCAAGTCACTTAACCCCAATTGCCTAAAAAAAAGGAAAAAAAAAGAAAAAGAAATAAGTTCACATTTGTATGCTTAATGACTGAGGAGGTAGGGATCAACATCTTTTCTTCCTCTTCCTCCCTCCTGTCAGAGGGGAAATGGAAAGTGAAATAGTCAGATGTATAAAGATGTCCTGAGGGTTTTACCTGTTAGCTTTTCCCCTAGCCATGGTGGGGCAGCACCCCATAGAAACAGAGGAAAGACAGGCATTATAGACTGAATGCCAAACTTCGTTAACCCCTAGTCTGCCAGCCTATTCAACTGTACCTCTTCTCATTTCTCTCTCTCTCTCCTATATATTTGGAGATACATACTGTCCTATACCATAAGGTCCAAGTCTGCTGCTTTCCCAATTTTATGCCGCAGGGAAAGTGGTCAGTCCCCCAATTCCCTACTAGCACTGTCTTTCCTCACTTCCATCTTTCCATGTGACTTCTCCCCAACTCAGCCATATTCCTTCTCTCCCATTTCCTTTCCAAGGCCAAAAGATCTCAGACTTAGCACTCCAGGTAAAACGTATGCACACCCTTACACAGATATTCATCCCTCCCCAGCCTACCAACTATCTATGACATCTCTGGATGGGAAAAGAGCTATATGTGTGTATGACTGTATGTAGCCTACTCTGGGTGCTATACACATGACTAGTGTGATAAACGGGTCTTTTACCAGTGTCAGAATCATTTTGCCCTAGATCAGAAGGTTGTGTCTTAAGAGATACCAATGGAGATTGAGGCAGGGTGGGGGGAGGAGGTAGTCATCCTATCCTCCAGTTCCATGATTTTCAGCTATTGTTGTTGAGTCATTTTTCAGTCATGTCTGATTCTTCCTGACCCCATTTAGGATTTTCCTGGCAAAGATACTGGAGTGGTTTGCCATTTCCTTCTCTAGCCCGTTCCATGATCACCTCCCTGAAATTATGGCCTGCTGAGCCTGAACAAAATGATACAACTCTATTCTTACCTTTGATATGTTGATAAGCAGTGAAATCAAATCCCTAAGGAGCACATAACATTTAATTTCTAATTCATTGCAAAATAGACTTATTCTTGCTTAGTAGCTGGCACTATTAGTCCTTGTCCCAATTTAGCACTTAACATTCACCTGAGTATTCATCTTTCAAAAATAGACACAGTATGGATTAACTGTTCCACTTTAGCTGGATGAAAACATTTAGGTGAACAAGGAAGGTCAAGCTATCCCCAGTCATTCAAGGGCTTATTATACCAAGCCTTCAGGCTTCTCCTTCTGGTTCCTACTGACTTCCCTCTGTCCATTTTTGCATCTTGTTAGTGACTAGTGATGTATTCTATACAGTAGCTGATTAACAAATGTTTGTTGTACTATGCTGTACCTATTTACCAGAGATATTCTCAGGAGCTCACACTCAGGGCAGATGGAAAGACCTAGAGTTGTAAGGGTGCTGCATCAGGATGCATAACAAGGCAGAGGAGTCATTAGCTTACATCAGCAGGTTAGATGACAGTGCTAAGGGTCTGCACGCCACAAAAGCTGGGCAATAGGTAAGGCCCAGAGGACCTTAGGAGATAGTATCAATAGAGATATAAAGGCCCAGTGGTCTTCTGTCTCACCTGAAAGAAAAGAGTTGGTGACTCATATAGCATCCAATTCAAACAGCCCAGGTGGGTTCTGAGCAGCCTGGGACAGGGGAGAGGTTGTGAAGGGGGAAGGGAAGCAGAAGGGGCCATGGCTAGAAGGGTCTTAGAATCTGGAGCACTAAAAAGTTAAGTTATTTGCCCAGGGTTGCACAGCCGATATGTATGAGGGAGGGCTCCAACCCAGGTCTTCCTGGCTCTCAGACTAGCTCTCTAACAGATATCGTG